AGACTATATAACAAGGCCTTTATGTAGAAATTACAACATACAGTAACTAAAACATAGGCATAGGAAAAGGTGGGCACGGGGCCGACCGCCCCCACCCCAACTCTAGGATGGAGGGGGGCGGGACCCAACGTCTGACCACTCCCCCACTCCTCAACTTTCGAGAACATTCTTTGTATACAAAGTGCAATTGATTAGTTTCCCAATTGTTGAAAACGCTGACCCTGCAACTAAGAGGGCAGCTATAACTGTCTGGCGTTGTAAATGAAATTAGCATTATGTCGAATATCTAAATAAAAATGTATGTCAGTTTTGTGCAGAATTTAATGTTCATCTACTTAAAACTGCTAAAATCGAAGAGCTTCCTGGGGCTTAGCCCCCTGGATCCCTGCCTATTTCTTGGGGGAACTTACTTTTCCCCACTTCAAAATACCTTCATACGTCTTTGTAAAACATGCATTGTTTTGTATTACATCTATAAAATCTGTATTACAAGTTCAAAACTATTGGTTCTATATATAGACAACTTGATTACGAGATACTGGCCAACTTTCAGTTTCATAGACGATAATACGATAATATAATGCGGCAATATAATGCGACACCTCAGGAACAGTGACGGGTAAAAGTGAAGGATAATCATCCATTAGTCCTTCATACGATGAAACATCGGGTTTGGGGCAGGATGGTAATTGAAGCTCATTGTAGTTTGTTAAATGGATATAGGAAGACATGAGACAGAGCTAAAAGGAAGCAGTAGAGAGAGCAATTACGGAGAGGGAGGTCAGGGGACGAGCATGTTAAGGCGCGGTTCAACTGGCCTTGACTATGCGCAGGACTTGCTACGCTATCTTGGCCGGATAGTGTCACTTTGGCGTGAAATTTCAGGGCTGAGGTGAGCCAGCGATAACTCGACCTAGAGCGTTCTTTTTCGTTGGGTATATCCGGGTTTTCCAGGGTGCAATTAAAAACTATTGTCTGCAATACTTAATATTATGAGTATCTATGTATCTATAATAAAAAATATATATATATTAGAGATTTTATACAAACCTGGTACGATAATTTATTTGGTTAATTTGGAACTGAGTATCTACACTCGCATCGGCAGCCTGTCTGACTGGCGTTAAAATTTAATCTGTAAATTTGTTTCCTTCTACACAGCAAACAGCTGACCTGTTTCAACGTTCCTTTCAGCCGTGTCTTATTTCTTGCTATATCAAAGAACATTAAAGGAGAGATAACTTCCAGGATAGTCCAGTGGTAACGTGTAGGCCTCTCATCCGAGGGGTCGGCTGTTCGTGCCCCGCCCAGGCGCGAGAAGTTGCAATCATCATCTGGAGGTTACTGCTGTAGCTGGGCACCGCGGTGGGTAAGGACTAAGCTCTGTCGCGTCAGCACCAGCTGACACGTTGATCGAGTCGACATTTGTCGGCACAAGCCGGGCTCCCCTCATAGCTCGGGCGAGGTTCAGCTTTTCATATCGGACTTATCCTTATCCTTAGAAAGATGAGCATTCGGGCTAGCACAACGGCACCGTGTTGGCATCTCATCCGAGGGGTCAGCGGTTCATGCCCCGTCCAGCCGCAAGAAGTGGCAATTGTCGCCTGGAGGCTACTGCTGTGGCTACGCACAACGGTGGATAAGGACTAAGCTCAGTCGAGTCAGCACCAGCAGACACACTCTAGTCGAGTCGGCATTAGTTGGCGCAGTACAAACTCCACGGAGCTTCCATTACCACCCTGACCCAAATTCGGTTTCATCCTATGAAGGACGATGAGCTTCTGTTGGCAAAATAGTTCCAAGAAATCTGTTGGCCAACTGATTCATGGTGATAATTTTCCTTATCACTCTTGGAACATATATGAACAACTGAAGGATGATCTGTCACGATCATATAATGTGTTGGAAATATGGCATAATGGGTTTGCCAGGATACTGCCGGACCATCCTCAGTTGCTGATGATTGCTGCAAAATATCAAAAGGAGCATCACAAGTTATGGACATCATGCAGCTGGCAGGAAGCATACCTCGTATCAGAAGTACCAGCATCTAGATAAAAGGATTAAATCACTGATTGCAAAATTAGATACAATGGTGATCTCCACTGAGCACATAACAAATAATTTGTGTTGTAATTTCTGCACTCCTTCCTAAATCTAGTGGTGACAATGAACCGAAACACTGACAAAAATGTCGATTCGGCATAGTGCCGTTCTCGCGACTTTGTATTCAGTTGCGAAACAGACGCTGTGTGTTGCTGCGCAGTGCGGCAACATTACTTCTAAATAGTTTTCCTGTGACAGAGTAAACTACCCGTTTTGACAAGTATGCGACACAGTCCAGATCATGGTGTTCCCACGCCGTAGGAACCGTATCAGCTCGGTCAGCTGTAGTTCATATGGCAGTTATATGATCGTTCTTGTATTCGACTATCTTTGTTCTCACTATTTTATTCGTCAGCATTCCTTTATCCTCAACAGATTGCAGGAGTAATGTGCCGGACGCGCCACTCCAAGTGCTCGGGCCGAGAATTCCCTTGCAGTGACGGAAGGGGCTGTGTGGCACGTCCCCTCGTCTGCGATGACGGTTTTCACTGCCCGGACGGAAGGTAAATACAAGCGACATGAGTGCAGAGGAGAAGAAAAATAAGAAAGAAATGCCATCCCAAAGTGTAAAATACCTTTTGGTTCACAGATACAGCCCTGAGGCAAGGGTCCTACTGCCTTTATTTGTTTTTCTTTTGATTCATATCTAATGTCTTATTCAGTGATGAGAAGGAGGAGCTTTGTGAGGACGTAGGCGTGATCAGGCTGAAGGAAAGTCACAGACGCCTCGAGGTGCTCGGAATGGTGGCTGGCGCGGTGGAGGTGAAGCGGCGGGGCGTCTGGGCCGCCGTGTGTGGCTTCATCGCGATCAGCGATGCCAAGGTGAGTCATGGCTGCTGATGGGAAGGTGGTCAGGATAAGGATAATAAGAGTGAAAATTCTAAGCAAATAATGGAGGTCCTGATGATAATGAGGACAATTATTATTGCTATTAACACCATTATCATTATTAACAACAATGTTGATCGTGACTATTATTATTATTATTATTATTATTATTATTATTATTATTATTATTATTATTATTATTATTATTATTATTATCCTCTTTCTTCTCTTCCTCCTCCTCCTCCTCATCATCATCATCATCATCATCATCATCATCTTATCCCTATCTTATTATTTTGATTATCATGGTAATCATGATGCTGATCGTGATTATCGTTATTATTTTTATCATTATGTTATTGTTATCGTTATTAATAATGATATTATTATTGTTGTTGTTGTGATTACTACCTCTCCCAAGGAGGTTATTTTTTTTATTTCCGCCAAAGTTATGCTTTGGTAGCGTTGGTTAGTCTGTTCATTGGTTAAAAGGATAACAAAAAGTTATGGACAGATTTTTTTTTCAGCCAGAGGTGTGTCTTGGCCCAACATAGATGCCACCAGTGTAATTAAGATTATGATTTTAATGTAATTCTTCGTTTGAATATTATTATTACATCAGTGACTATTGCCTTGGCGGAGGTATGCTCTCTCTGATTGTTTCTAGGTATTATTATTACTAGTTATTATCGTTATTATTATCATCATAATAATCATAGTCATAATCACAATCATAATTATCATCATCCTCATTATCATCATCATCATCATTATCATCATCACCATATTATTATTGTTGTTATCAATGTTGTTTTGTTATGAGGATTACTATAATGATGATAATTATTATTATGATCTTTATTATTGTAATTAATGTTGATTTTTACTGTTATTATTATTGGTATTATCGTCGTTGATAATAGTAATAAATAGATAATAGGCAGTGGTGCTGCCCTATATTGGGCTTGAGTCTCCGTCGGGCAACGACTGGGGATGTCATAAGCATTATTGTTTTTATTATCATTAGCATTGTTAGTATTAGCTGTAATAGTATTATCATTATCATTATTATCATTGTTCTCATTGTTATTGTTAGTTATTGTTTTTATCATTGTTATTTTTATCATTATTATCACTACTATTAGCATTTTCATTATTATTGTTGTTAATACTATTATCAGCACATTTATTATTAATTATTATTATTATTATCATTATTGTTATTACGACAACTATTTTTGTCATAATTGTTTTTACTGTCTTTTTAGAATATCTTTATAATCATTATGAATCATTGCTGTTGGTGTTGTTAATTTTGTTGTTGATGTTAGTTATTGTTATTATTATTGTTCTTATTACCATTATTACTTTTATTATATTATCATTATTATTATTATTATATTTTTATTATTATTATTACTATTATCATTATTATTATATCATTATTATTATTAGTAGTAGTATTATTATCGTATTTTTATTATTATTGTTTATCTATTTTCCTTCCATTTACTGACTACAGAGTGAGCCTAGACCATATCCTTGAGCCTACGCTGCTATTGGTCATTAGATGGAAAGGATCTTTCTCGGGATAAACACTTATCCCGACATTTCGATCTTCCGATCCTGAAGAAAGCCCGTAGGGATTTTTATGTGTTTTCTTCTCTTTTTCTATATTTTACTTTTAGGGTTCATACAGCTACTGGTACTGCGTCAGTTCTTAGTGACCAGATTCTTCTTGCTTCCGTCTCAAGCACTTTATGCTTTCGTTTTTTTCCCGCAGTCTCTAAATTTCAACGCCCGTTGATAAGCATTCTTTGTCATTTTTATCTTTCATTGTTAAAGGGCTTATGTGAAGTAACAACTGACATTTTTAAAAAGGGAGAATTAGCTCGCAAACATCCCTCTATGAGTAAAAAAGGAAATCTGAAAATAATTCCCCAAAATTGATTTAGTACGATTTTCCGGTCAAGTTATACTTTTCCGCGTAAATCCCGGAACCCGGATGTGTGACAATTCCAGAACACGATCACAGCATTCTCTGCATTCAATACATTGTTCAACAT